ATGTATATTATGAAGACCATTAACCTATTAATATGTGTATTGAAAATCTTTCCTTGGTTTATCATTTGTCATTTGATTTTGGTAGGTTTTTTTTTTTTTTTTTGCCTGCCAGAATGGCTCAAATCAATTATTATCAAGTAAACTGTCTTTCATAGTTTCTGCTTTTGACACTTTGATCATCTGAAGAATATTTAAATAAATATAAGTCAACCACATTAAATCATTTATAGACACTGAGGAACGATATACAATGTATATACTTCATCATCATTGTTCCGTTTATCAAAGTCATGGTCCTATGCAGCAAAAGTATCTGATTTCAAACACTTATGTTTCACTTATCCTAACAGGCGCCCTGCTACTCCTCACAGTATGCATGCATCTTCATTTCTCAATTTATCAGCTCCACACAGTCTGATGTCGTACTACGAGAGATGTGGAACTTCAGTCAACTTAGTCCTAACTTTCCCTCTCCACTCTTCTATTTAACTTGAGTAATATCAATTTTGATTGAAAGTACTTTGAAACTTTAAGTAATATACTTCAATCTCTATTTCTCGATTTATCAACTTTGGGCAGTATGTCATAACTACGTGTTGCATTCCTAATGGGGGAAATCACATGTAAAAATAGTTATTCTCCATATTCTTTGGATCATAAAATACCATATTTATGAAGGAATGCTTCACTGGAAGCAGGTCTATCTCTAGTCATAATGAAACCAGAGAGATCTGTGTAAGTAGAGTGAAAGATATTGATAGAAACGGTAGTATAAATTATAATAAGAATATTTATATTCTATATCATAGACTACACAGATTATAGAGATATAGGGCCTTTCCAACTGTTTTGCTTTGTTTTTGCTGAGAATAATTCCTTAATGCGTATTAACCAACCTCAAAGGGAGTGGGAAAGAAGTTAAGGATTATAGTGGGGGTGAATTTTATCAAAACACATATGTATGCCTGGAAGTATCACAGCGAAACTCTGAAGTACAATTAACACACACTAACAATAAAAGAAGAGAAAAGAAACACAGGCAGTTTATGGCCATACTAAATCACTATATGGGTCATCTAGGTTTGTTGGTTATGTTTCTGTCCAGCAACTACTTTTCCTTTGTCACGGTGACATTATCTGAACAATTCTGCCTTCCCCCAGTCCCAGGTCACAGGACTTGCACGTGGAGCCACTTCTTGCTCTGAACTCAGGGAGCACATTTCTTAGACCTGACCCCATAAATGCTGTGCATCCTCCTGCCCTCGGTGGTTAAAACCAAGTGACTCTGGAACTGCATTAGAATCTACGAGGGGCACCAAGGTTTACGCTGGGAAGGGCAGGGCAAAGCTTCTTGCCATTTCTCTAGAAGAAAGAGACAGCCCTGGGAGATGCTGACAGCCACCTTGTGACCAAAACAGGAAGCTCACCAGGAAGAGGTTGAGTAAGGAAAAAAAGAGGTCGGGCCATTTCTCCTTTTGCTGCTCATTTAAAATCAGTTCACACAGATTCTCTTTTTGCTTATCCCAGTTTGGAGTGGGTTTTTTTGTCAACTGGAACAACTGCACAGTTAATTAGTGGTAATCCTGACACTGATCTTTTGACTTCTAATCTAGGCTTTTTTTCTACTCTTCCATGCCATTTCTGAGATTAATATCTTTGTTTGGGATTCAAAAACACACACCCCTCTAGATCTTGTCACTGTGTCTTTTATATTACAATCTATTACATGGCTTTTAGAAATGCAAACGTATCGTACAGACTTCATTCATGAGCCAGAATGCATATGTGTGTGGGCACAACATGCCAAACCAAGCTAATTTCAGAACTTCTGTGTTAAACAAAGTTACATTTGTTTTAGGACCAAAAACGATGGGTCATTTTAAACCAAAGGAACCTGATATAGCACCCATCATCTGTGCTAGGCATAAGAGTTGTTGTCATCAAATTCAATTATAAGTTAATTGTCTGAAGTTCAGAGGTCATTTGCCTAAGAAATGGTATTATAATTAGGATTTTGCTTATCAGCTAGCACAGAAAAGATGCTTTGATGTAAAATGTGGCTAAATAGCAGAGCACAGTATTGTTACAACACTAACAGTTAAAGATATAAAAATACTAAAACTCTAGAGAATGATTCTTAAGCAAGATTTTCTGGCAGAAGATGGGAAGGTAAAAGGAAATGTACAATCATTCCAAAGGGGCTGTCAAGACACTGTCACAGTCACAGTCATCAGTGACTTGGGTTCTCTATTATACTGGTCCCCACTCATCTATGATTTTGCTACTGCAATTTTAGGTCAACTGCAGTATGAAGATATTGAATGGAAAATTACAGAAATAAACAATTTACAACTTTTAAATAACTTTTATCACTGTTTAGTATAAAAATGCTCTATTTTATTTTTAGCTATTGTTATTAAACTTTTTGCTGTGCCTAATTTGTAAATTGAACTTTATCATGGGTATGCATACATAGGAAAAAACCCTAAAAATATATAGGGTTAGATACTATTTATGGTTTTAGGCAGGTATAGGGGTCTTGGAATTATTCCTCATGGATAAAGGTAGGACTCCTACATACATTGTCAAATCAAAATGTATAACTTGCCTTTTTTAATGATACAAGAATATCTCTATCACTATTCTTTGTGTGTGTGTGTGTGTGTGTGTGTTGCTGAGAGTTGAACCCAGGGCCTCACCCATGCTCCACCACTGAGCTCTAGCTCAGCCCCTTCCACTGTGCTTAAACTTCAAAACCTTTGAAAGGTGGATCTAAGAAAGGGAAAACACAAAAGAGGTTTTCATTTGTTCTTTCACTACACACTTCAAGTACATATCTCTCTTCCCAAAAGGTACTGTCTGGAAAGGCAAATGTAATGTAAACCCAGTGCTGGTGGGAAGAGAGTTGATGGAGGTAGGTGCAGAGGTGAAATAGGGGCTCAGCCTGTGGGCTGCTCATTTCTGAAGGAGGAAACTGGGGTAGGAGTTGCAAGATGCAGTTAGGAAGAACCAGAGCTGAGAGGGCAATGCAGGAAGAGGGAATTTTGTGCAAAGGTGTGGAGCTACCGCCTCGAGAGTTGTGTCAGGGTGCTATTTGTGGTTCAGTGTGGAGGGAAAGGAAAATAGAAGGATAAATATTTTAACTTTTTGTGTGAAAGTTAGGGAAAACCTTTAAATGATATTCAAAGAGGGTTGTCCCAGGGGAACTAGAAAATGGTTGGAAGAGAAAAGGTGGAGATGGAGAATCCCAAGGAAAAGGAATATATGCACATAAGAAGTTGCAAGAAGAGATGGTTTTGGAGGCTATAAACTAAGTTTCAGAAGCAAGTGAGCAAGTGAAGACAACACACGGGATCTGTGCACAGGGAGGAAGTGGTAAGCAGCAGAGAGCACCGGTGTACAGGTAGTGCAGACCTAGGAAATTGTAGGTATACCGTGGAAAGATGGTAAAGCTTTTGTAAGGCCCAGTGAGGTCCAAATGCACCAGGCTAAAGAAAGAGCCTATAGGTTCTAATATGTGGACTTTGAGGGGGAGGGTGTCAGATGTTTTAACTTGGGATACTTTTGAGTTTAATTGGAATTCCTTGGGGTCATTCTGCACAATGTCAGAGTTGCCTAAACTGGGCAGCACAGGGATTTCAACTAGAATGGCAAATGTCTCCTAGAAAGGAAAAGACCTCACCATAGTGCAATCACAGACTCATGATTGAGACCTTATTGAGACACAGGTAGAGTGGTATTGCCTTGAAGAGATAGGAATAAACTGTGTCGAATGCCCTCCCAGGCTTATGCTCAAAAGCATCAACATGCATCCTTAGAGATTGCATTTTTAATGGGAAACTACTGTGAGTAGTAGCACTAAACACAGAAAGACCAGGCCTTCGCTGGGTGGGACATGCGTCTTTCCCAAGCTCATTTGTGCTTTAGTTTTGCTTTGCTTGGCCTTTTACAACTTGGCAGCTCAGGAGTAAAAGTGAGGAACTCAGAAGATTTTAAGTTTTTTGCTCCAAATAGTCCTTTAATGTTAGTATTCCTTGGACAGAGATCCCTGATGTTCCAATCACTTGTTCTTGGTATTTCTTTGAAAGTATCCTTTAGCATTTATGAATCTGTCCATCTGTGCTTTTGGCTTTTAATTTACACTTGCTGAGACTTTCCTGTAATGCAGGTGGCAAGGTGAAATATAGTTGTAGACTCACTTGAGAATTGCTGAATTCCATGGTAACTTTGGGGTGGCAGCATTGAGAAATGTGAACTGGCCAAAAAAAGAAGAAAAAGACTGGCACTGCTCAGCCTGTTTCTTACTCCCCTCTGTGAGATCTGACTTTTAAAAATCCTTTGTTACTTCACAATACATTTTCAACTGCATTTAAAGTAATTAACACCCGGAATAGAATCCTGTTGTCACATTTAATTATCAGATAGTTACTTTCTCTGGGACTATTGACAGTTGCCCAAAATGTTGGTCTTAATCTAAAACCAAGAAGAGACCTCTGACATAGTGAAAGCCACCAAAGTGGCAGTCATTAAATATAAATGGTAAATGTCTGAAGAAGAGGTGAGGAAAGAGCACCGGCTCTCGGCTCAGAAAGAAAACCGTCTCAGCACAAAGGGAAATCACATTAGCTCTGATGGAAGTTCTGTCAGTTCCATGTGTCATGTGATAACTTAAAAATGTGTGCATTCCCATAGAGCATTGCATTTGCATTGAGAAATGCAAAGTTTTCTGACCTTCAAGGTGTTCTAGTGCCAATTTGCCAAACTCACTATTAAAACAAGAGTGTCTATTCGTTCATTACCTGGACTTGCATGAGGAAAAAAAATTAAATGATAGTCATTTAAAATGAAGAAAGCTCATTTATGTGCATTTTAGGAACCTTCAGTGAACAAGCTAAATATATGCATGAGAAAAAAATCTGTTACCCTCTGGGTAGTATCTTGTAATAAGCTGGAAATGTGGAATCCGTTAATAGTATTAGAAATTAGGTGCCTAATGAATTGTGCCCATTATTGGAAGTTTTCTGTAATAACAATTCCTTAAAAGCTAAAAACTGCCTGCTAGCTCCATAACTTAGAGAAAAGCTACTGTTAAAGACATCAGGAATTGTGTCCAAGTGGAGTCGTCTTCCACGTGGTTAAAGAAACATAGACCGACTTCGGGTACTTACTATGTGAGCACTATGGCCACTGCATCATTCAACACACTCTCCCCAAACAGGAGTGCATACAGGTCAGGGTCAGCGTGCAGTTCATGGAAAATGGCCAGCACCGTCACTAGGAGGACAAATACAAAGATGATGGGTTAGCTGGGACACAGCCATGGAATTTTCCTTGGTTGTGGTCACTTCTAAAAAGCATTCATTAAATATCAATTGTCTCAAATCCATCCTCCATCCCGACACCAGACCTTTATGCAGAAACACCTGAGTATGCCATCCATTTCTCAGAGATTTCTCTGGGCTCCTCAGGGCTTACAAGGAAAACCTGAGCTCTATATATAGTTCAAGTCCTGAGCAAGCTGCACCTTGTTTACCTTCCAGCAACATCTCTCCCTCTCTCTACCTCTTGCCCACCTTTTGCTGCTTCCCTCAAGCCACATGAACTTGCCATAATTTTCTAAGTACACAACATAGTTTCCTAACTGCTTCTGCATTTTGACTCCTTTTTCTATCAGAGCAGAGATTTCTTTCATTCACTTGCTGTCATTCCCTATTTCTTAAATGCACAAACATACACACGTTCTCTTGCTCCTAGAGACGCCTTTATTCGTTCTTTAAGAACCTTTCAAGTGACTCCCTCTAAATCCCCTGACTTCCTCAGCAGCCACCTGGCTCATTCCTTTGTGATCCTAACATCTGGATCAAATCACAATCTTACTATAGAAGGAACTGTGAGCTGCCTGGGGACAGGGCCCATCTTTGGAACACTTAATAACTGATGCATGCTTGCATGAATGAATATTGTTACAGTGGCCTACTCCTGTGAAGGGAGAGGTGGCTGATACCCGGTTCTCATTTGCTCCTGAGATTATATTCAGCTATACAGACAGAACTAATGTTCCTAAGAGCAGGACTTGTTTCAGGTGGCCTGCTGCACGGTTACCAGATGCAGCATACTTGCCTTGAGCGTCTGTGACTACATCAGGACAATAAATAATCTGTGTTCATCAAAACTTTTCAGTGTCTTGATAGTTGAAACAGTTATGCAACGTGTGAACAGCAGTCATTAGGAAAATGATGCATTGAACTGATTGCCAAGGGGGAATGAGAGTGGTTGAAAATGATACTGATGGTAAAATTTTAAAGCCGAGTGGGTATTTTCCTCTCTGTTCTTCTTATTTCTTGGACTGTGAGGATCGTAACTACATTGCATAAAAGAGTGCTATTGAGAAAAGGCAAGAAAGGCAAGTTGAGTTTGCAGCTTTTACAAGTAGGATTGAGACGTTTGGAGTTCTTCCTGCCTGCCACAACAGGAATCATGGAAGGATTTTAATAAGAGGGATACAATCTGACTTGAACTTCAGAAATAAAGCTCAGGCAGTAGAGCAGAGGGCAGAGTGAACAGATAGCCAGAGGCTTTCCCAATGGTTGCAGTAAGAGACAGGTCTCTCTAGGACAGGGAAACAGCTGGATTCAGGCCCCCAAACTCCTGAACACACTGTGCCACCCTGCACATTTGCCATGCTGGGTGCTGACAGGCCAGTATGCACAGTGCTCTGCACTTCGCTCACTCATTGGTTCTCATCTTCCCTGTGTGTCACCAGCCCAAAGCAGTGCTCCACCATACTAAGCCATTAGTGGGTAGATGAGTGGGAAATGTTGGTGAGGACAAGATATGTGGGGTACTCCCAAGATCTGCGGGGTACAGAATGGTTGGTCTTGGTGCTTGAGAGGCTGTAAGGAATGACTCTAGATTTCAATCTCTTGTAAAACATGTTAAGTCTATTTAAACACAATGCATTGTACACTTGAAAATGGCTGAGAGCAGTTTTTAAGTGTTCTCATTACAAAAAATTGATAAGCATGAGAGGCAAATTAGCTTGAGTTCATCATTTCATAATGTATACATATTTCAAAACATCGTGTTGTATACATAGGCATATAAATTATAATTGTGAATTAAAGATCAATATTTTATTTGCTTATTTTTCTTAAATATTTTATTTTAAAAGAGAAGAAAATTCTGTAAGAATCCCAAACAAAAATGAAGGAAAAGAAATGTCATAAGTTGGGATGACAATTGGCCGTATCTCATTTTTTTAAGAAACCATGCATAGAATTAACTTCATTCTCCAGGCTGAGTGGGGTCCCATTAATTATACTAGGCAAAATGGCAGAGAGCTACTCTGAGCTAGTGGGTAGCTGTTAACATTTGCCACAACCCTTAGCCTTTGCAGATGGTGACTTACTCTGTTAAGTAATCTTTTTCTCCTTGGGTAGAAGACTCTGCATCTAACTAAAGCAAAGAGGCTCCAGTTGAGGTCTGAGTTAGCAGTTTATCCCTCTTTTCTCAGATCTTGTGGAATACGTTCTTTGATGGAAAATTCTATGACTGTGGCTCCATTGTTGGTTTTAGACTTTGTAGCTATTTATTTGTATTTCTGAGCTCTGAAAAGACTCCGTGCTCCTCTCCACTCCTAGGCAGGTTTACTAGGCTCACACATAGGAATGTAAGACTGTGTGTGGGTTCCTTTCTCCACTTGCCCAGTTATGGTTCCACTCTGTCCTGTGGGGATGGGGTCTGCATCTTTCCAGGCAGAAACTTAGACCTTTTTGCGGAAAGCCTTTTAATTAAACATGCAGTTTTGTTTGAAACTACTCTACGTTCCCACACTCTTTTTGAACAAGGAACTGAACTGCATTTCACAAATGATATCCCACGCAAAATAGAAAGAGATTGCTTTGTGCATTCCTATCCGCCATGAAGAAGTGGTACAGCTTTGAAGTAAAGCCAGGCAGTGTGTCCTGTGAGAGGGAGTATTTAGTTAGGACCACAAATGAGTCGAATAGGTGAGTCAGGAAATTAGCCACCCACTCTGCTGCTGATCTTGGAACCTTTAAAAAACCTCACTTAATTAGCTCACTGGCAGGGCTCAATCTCACACACGATGACCAAGACTCTGCAACACCTTCCCAGGACGGAATCTCCCAGTACAGCTGTGGACATGCTCACAGCGGCTCTGCTCACACCTTGCTAAGTTTGTAGGGGACAGCCCCGGCACAAGACTGGGCTGAAAAGCAATAGCATAAGGAAAGTATTTTAGACACTATGTGGACAGGCAGAGACAAGACACAACCAGACTTCTTAAACCTCTGATTTTATTAAGGGCTTTGGTGATTTTTGCCTTTACCACACTTTAATTCCATTTGCCTTTTTGTGGCAGGTTGTAACATGGCTTGGAGTTCCTTCTCTACACAACCTTTTCCTACTTGATTGTCTTAGCTACAGACAATTTCACTTTGCCTTTCAAGGTGGTACAAGGATGTAAAAGTGCATATGATCTTATGCTCAAGTAGATAAACACACACACACACACGCACATGCCTTCCTTTAGAGTAGTGGAGGAGACTGATAACTGAGTCCTGAGAAACGCCACTGGATCACTGGAGTACTAAATAGTTTCAGCAGCCAAACAGAAAAGGGCCACTGGGGGAGGGGTGAATGGCAAGACAATGGTGTGGCCAGAGCTTCTGAGAAGCTGGTGAGGAGGGATGGAGAGAAAACATCAGGGACCAATGCATGAGTCAGATGTCACAGGAGGCTGAAAATGTGGAGGGTATCTGTTGGGGGGATGAATTCAAGATTAAGACAAACTGTTAAGGTCAAATATAGGACAATTCTCAATCTGCAAGAGAGAAACCTTAACTCTGAAATAATATTCTGTTTTTATTAATTTCTTTGTCATCCAAGAGCCTCATCCCCTACCACAATCCTATTGTAGCATCAAAACTAACCTTTGCGGTTAGATTAAAAAGAATTAACCTAGAAGGTAACACCCATGCACAGGAAATCAATGTGAGTCAATGCCCTGTATAGCTATCCTTATCTCAACCAGCAAAACCCCTTGTTCCTTCCTATTATTGCTTATACTCTCTCTACAACAAAATTAGAGATAAGGGCAAAATAGTTTCTGCTGGGTATTGAGGGGGGAGCGGAGGGGGTGGAGTGGGTGGTAAGGGAGGGGTGGGGGCAGGGGGGAGAAATAAACCAAGCCTTGTATGCACATATGAATAATAAAAGAAAAATGAAAAAAAAAAAAAAGTGAATGAGAAAAAAAAAAAAAAAACTAACCTTTGCTTATCTCACAGGAAACACCCATTCCTAGAGATAAAACAACAGATAATGACTGTCCCCCATTGCTATCTCAACGTGCTACTGACCCATTTTTTTTTTCTTTCTTTTCTTTTTTCGCAGCACTAGGGTTTGAACTTAGGGCCTTACACTTGGTAGGCAGTCACTCTACCACTTGAGTTACATCTCCAGCCCTCTTAAATGATGTCTTGCATTTCAAAAAAAAAAAAACTGCTTGAACTTCAAGTGACCACTTTCTTGATAGTCTTTTAGTAAGCCTTAAGTCTTTAGGGTGATTTAGTGACAGTCCCTTCTCTGGAATCTCTGCTAGCAGCTCTCTGACCCATATTTTCTTGATGTTTTATAAGGAATTTGAATTTCAAATTATATTTTAATGTGGTAGCTCTCAGCAACCTAGTACAAGATTTGCCTGGGTCGATAGACAACAAGACACAATTGTTCCTATTCCTGTCATCCTGAGTCATCATCCGGCCTTGTCAAAGTGCTGGCTCTCCCAGGAGAGTGTTCTCTATGGTTTTCTGTGCAAATCAGTGTGTATGACACTTGCTCATGACATGTGGAGAATCAGAAATTCTCGGGTTTCTGCAAGTGAATCTGTGTTAGACCTGACAGGTGGAGAATCCTGGTGTTCTCCTAAATAAGGCAGTGTTCTTTTCCAAAAGTGATTTCTTCCTGCTGGGGCAGGACGATGGGAGAAGAAATTCTCCTGTACCTTTTCCACTTTCCTGAAATATTATACATGGTGGGATTTTAAAGAGACGATACTTAAAAAGTTGTGGCATCTGGGTACAGTCTGGAATAATGGAATTCTTTTGAGTGTGAATCCTCTGTGAAGATTTGGTGGCAGAATCAGTGCATAGATGGGTTTTGCCAGTCAAGTTCTAGAAATATAGCTAGAAATCCTAAACCTTCTGAACTGATGCCAGGTCTGAACTACTAATGATTATATGTTACTATGTTGA